GTTAAAGAATCAAGAATAAGATTTAATCTCTTTACTGCTAGTCTATTACTGTAAGCTCTACAGGAGACGTACCACAGTCTCAAATAATGACGCCACTAGCTCTCGCAGTCTAGGGTTAGTCAAATAGTGAACTCGTGCACTATACCAAGGGCGTTTCCCTTCAGGTTATTTGAAAGTCAGAGGCTCTACTGTGCTTAAGGAATTTCCTAGGCTTTAAAGAAAGGAGTCTATTCTCTGAGAGCTAAAGAGCTCAGGGGATTAACTGCAGGTTTGCTGCTAGCTAAATCCTTGAGAGTGTGTGTGGTGCTTGGTGGGTTGGTGTGTTTTTTTGTGTCTCAGAGAACCTCTCCTATTTATACCTTTCAGCCTGTTGTTCCTTAGCCAATAGCAAAACTGGCTCTTCTATTCTACTGTAATTACTAAGCTACTTCTACTTTTATTAATAAGCATTTTGTCTGTATTAGTCAGCCTTCTGTCTGTTTTACTAATGTATTGGTAAGCTATTACTAATGTTTGTTAGAGTATTACTATATTTTGGTAATTCATAACTGTTGAGCATAGACCTTTACTAAGCATAGTTTCTAGATTACTAAGAAGCTGAGTCATATTATTAGTCATTGATTCACTTTTAGTAAGCTTAAGTGTTTATGCTTACTTTGCAGCTCTGAGTAAGCGGTTTCTTTTTGATTTGAATACCTATTATTCCTTTAGTTTTCCTATACTTATAATTATGGTGCATGACATCTGGGGGCCACTTGAGATTCAACTGTCCTCAGTTGTCTCAGATTTATTTTTAGCTCAATACTGCCAGTTATGTCATACAACTTTTGTTTTTTAGAAAGTACATTCACAGATGGTAAAAGTAAGAAACTTGTTTCTGCCTCTCTGTGATACTTTCGTGTAAGTAAAGGTAACCTGTTTATGAAGAATAGGCTGTTCTGCATACACTTAAGTTACTTCAAACAGCCTCCCCATAGACGACTGTTTCAGTGGGGCAGGTTTCTTCAACTTGAAAAACTGCTGCCCGCTGCTGCCTGGCTGTCGTAGTCATGCTGATGACAGGGTAGACTCCCACTACAGAGGTTATTATGCCATATCATTTTTGATATGATGGTTGGCACTTACTGGGTCGCTCTATAGCCCACCAGTCCTGACGTCGCACTGCTCCTTGTGCCCTTGCCCAGTAATACTGAAGCGATTGCCTCCAGGTGAGAGGTGCGATGCAATAATCTAAGGCAAGGAATAGCCCCTCGCCACTGAATTGGTCGCAGGTGTGATACTGAGCAATATACTGGGTGTTCTGAAATTCACAAATGTGACTGAAGGTGGCTGTGATGTCGTGGTAGGTGCCAATGAGGTGCAGGTAGTTTTTGTAGGGTAAACCCGCTGGAGGGTAGTAGTTGACGTAAAAGGCGTCTCCCATGCTATTGTGTACATGCAAATCGACTGGCTTGCTAGTCCAGAGGTTGGTAAGTGAACTGAACATTGTGGGTGAGCTTGGATGATGGGGCTGAGAATGCTGAAACTTGTGAACGGGGTTTTGATTCTTGATAAGGCAACTGTTATTTTTCCGAGGCTTAGCCAGAGTTCGCTTGCACTCTGATTTTCAATGGACCTTAATTTCCGCCGCTCAGTGATTTGCCGATGACAGCGTGAGAATTCAGACGGTATTCTAGCTTCTTGATTTGTAGCATGTTGGTGCCATGCCAAGAATGAACGTGGCCGTTGGCGCTTATGTTTTGCGCTGTCGTATGTTGAAAAAATTCTCCAATTCCTTTTTCTTCTTCTACACACCATCATGGCTGAGACTAAGCCTTCTTCTCCTATTCCCAAGTCTAGTATCAGTCCTGAGCCACTTCCTCAACTTCCTATTACCCTTTTGTCCAATTCTAGCCGTACGCCCGTAGTTCCATTTTTTTTATCCCAGTCAACCACGCATGTAATACTTGACCAATTTTTACTGGTCTCAATTCCTCTTACTCCTCGAGGCTTTTTTGATTCCTTAGAGACTTGCTTGGTTTCTTCCACTGGTCGTTTGTTATCTGGAGGCCAAATCGTTTCTCTTTTTCATCACAGAATGCCGTGGGTTACAGGGGTTTCTGGGTTGGTGGAGGATTTGAGAGGATGGGATGCTACACGTCGCATTGCCTGGCTAGGCATTCGTGTTTGCTTGAGTCCTAAAGAGTCAGATATCCGCCACCTCCTCCTGCGTGTCTCGTATGACATGCTGGATAGTTCTATTGTGGAACGTATTCTCACCATCACTCCTCGCATGAGTCTTGTGATGCTTCCTCTGTTTGGTATGTTTACCTGTTAGTGATTTTTATCTTTCTTTCTTCTGACTGAATTTTTAGATCCCGCATGCTGCATGTTTCCCGCACCATGGCTGCACTCCTTTCTCACTTTTCCTGAGAAAGCACGCTTCCTTCAATGTGGGTGCCTTGCCTGCCTTGTCGGTCTTGAGATGGTAAGACAAATTTATTAGTTGTAAGGGGGGG